TCACTTATCATATAAATATAAGGTATAACCAAATTGTAAAAGGGCTGAAATATGTATGTCTAGTACATTTTAGGTTAGTTTGGTGTAAAGTGTTGGTCAGAGCTGATTACAGATTCATATACATTTTGAGCCTGTATGTGGAGTTTGACAGTAAACATTTCAAAGATTGAAGTATTAAAATACTTCCAGAGTAGACTTGTTGACAGACTGATGGTCGGAAGGATTTCGCCGGGGACCACAACTCGATAATCGAAGAAAACTGTCAGCATAACCTTAATTTTTGATCTGCTCTGAGGGGTTTTTTCGGCTTCGGCACACCTTTGCCACGATATTCGATGTTTCCGGGTCTTAAACATAAATCCAAGACTAAACGCTAGTAATAATACATTTTATCACATTCTGGCCGTCGGAAAGCATTGCTTCACCGACTTTAACGCGGCGCTGTTTTTCGAAACAATTGAGTGATTTTGGAACCAATGCTTTCACTTTTTTTTAGACCCAAATGATCTTTCAAAATGGGTTTCACTGATCCTTCCGATATTCCAACGAAGCTGTTAAGATCTCTGACTTAATCGCCGATTCTCAATAACCAATTACTTTGTTTTATTGACTTGTTGATCATCAGTTTTGTTGATGGCCGTCCTGAACGCGGTTCGTCGTCAACGTGTGCTCGAACCTCTTTGAATAATTTGTGCCAATCAAAAGCACTTGCTCGCCTCAAACAATTATCACCGAAGGCTCTTTCCAATATTCGGCACAAGAATTTGATTTCAATGATGACAGTTATAAGGAAGAAACTCGCTAATTGCGATTTTTCACACTTCAAAATAGCAACGCAAAGAATTAGAAACATCTTTTACTTTTGCTACATCTCTAAATATATATGACGCATAGTATGCATAGTATGCGTCATATATCATACTCTTTGATTTGATAACTTTTGCATTGCTTGCACGTCTGATACAAAAATTCCCGAAATGTGGCTAATGTGTGGAAGACGTGATGTGTTAATTTACACCCGATTCATGTGCGGCTAACAAACTTCCCACCAATCTACATATATAACTGCATATAATACTATATATGTATGTGAATAATGCAATTTGTTTATTGCAAAGCTTTTCCCTACAATTACAGTTTTATTTATTGCTCATTAAAAACACATTTATCCTCCGAATTAAATAATTTGCTAAAAATAAAATAAATACAAATTTGACTGCGCCATGATTATCATATCCCTATAAATTTATATGTATGTATATGTCTGTATGTATATATATTATATAATATTTATATTTGAAACTTGTCTCGCTAAAAGCGCGATAAGCTCGCCGATTGCAAATGAGTCAATGCAAAACGAAAACTATTTTGAGATATGATATAAGCTTTCGTTTGTTTTTCAAATGTGTGTATATGTATGTATGTATGTAAATATATATATTTGTATGTATGAGTAACTGTGGGCGATCTTGTTTATATATTTTATTTGTTATTGTCGATTTATGATTGCTTTCAGGAATGATTGATTATACATATTTTATCATGCACAGTGTAACACAGATATAACTATACTCGGGAATGTTTAGATGGGCACTGTTCCAAATTTTTGCTTTATAAAATTATATCACCGTTATATTCACTTTTTGCCAAATAATACTTCTGGTTTAATATAGGATTTCTTTATAAATGGCGATATTAGCAATTTATTATTAAGGTCAGTATGTTCAGAGGTTTCATACTGGCCAATCTTAGAAAGGGAGTATCCTCTATATATACATACGCGTTGTATCGTACAATTGAGGGTCCCGCTTCTATCCACATAAGAAACTTGCTAATTGATCATCGAAGCACACTTTTAGCTATAAACTGATTCTGTAAACAAATTTGTATGTCTGTCTATTCCACTTTTCTAATGTCTGTTATAAAAATCGTTTGTTTGTGTGCGTTTGTCGTTTTTAATATTTTTCATTTAATGGAAATGATGGACGCACTTTCTGATTTTAAGCTCCAGTATTATTCAGATGTCAGGTGAATTTAATTATTTGTTTGTTTACATTTTTTTCGCTTTGAAATGTCCAAATCAGCTGTGATGACTTTCCCTAATGACATACAGATGGCGCTAAATCAAAGTCGCACAGGAAGATCACGCATAGATTAGATGCAAGTCTCCTCCATGACGTGATTAAGAAATGTCAATATTTTTTTTGCCAATCTTGCTAAAACCAGTAAATTAATGACCTCAGTAGCCTCAATCGGTGACGAAAACCTAAATCTAATCATAAGAGGTCTGTCGGAACATGATACAATGACGAAGTATTTGGGTCCTCTGCATTTAAACAACAAATAGGTCAAGCAATTTGCTTAGCCAATTATTATTTTTAAAAATATATTTCCAATAACGCCTTGAAGATAATTCGCCGTTCAAAGTTTCCTCCATAAATATTCTCCCTCAACTTCATTCAAGTGCAGTTACACATGTAATGGCTTCGTAAGTCAGGAATTTGCAGCGCAGCGGCCACAATAACTACGATTGTAGCGTTCCACTTCCCTTCCTTCCACTTCTGGATCGCTATGCGTCTAATTGGAAAATGTTCGCTGCGGAGAGGCGCGCAGACGCCCGTCTTTATCTCTTGCGATTGCAACGATTGCGCGCCCTCGTATGAAGCTGTTTGTTTTCGGCTCTTCTGCAAGTGCTCTTTGCATTCCTTAATTAATTGCGAATTGTGTGGCCAATCATTGTTTGTGTATTATGCCGTTACATATTTACTTTCCGCCGCCGCCCCGCTACAAATGGAGCACTTGACTGTTCATTGACTTCTCTCGCCATGTTTGCATTATTTATCAATTGCGCATGTATTGGCAATTTATTTTCATTTTTCTCCGCTTTGTTAATATTTCTGTTTCTGTTTCTGTTGCTGCCGTTCAAGCGCGTTACACACTATTTACAAAAAATTATTTATGTGCACTGAATTAATTGCAATCGCTGCCACAAGGCACGGCTAAGTAGTTGCGAATTGCGGGCGCCGGCTGCTGCGTTCACTTTACTTTTCCAATTTCTTTTTGCTTTTTGCTTTTTCCTTTTTCCTTTTTGTTTCTCTATTTTGTTGTCTTTTTTCATTTCTTCATTAGACTGCTGCCAATTGTCGGCGAATTATAGACAATATAGCGCTGCAATTAAGTACAAGGAGGCGACTTCCATTCACTGTGCGCACGCATTGTTCAGCCGAAGCCACCCCGCACCACCCACCGGCGCGCTTCCTGTAGCTTGTCTATTGATTTCTTATTTGCCTTTGGCTTTCATTGTACTGGCTCTGGCACTCTTTGAAGTTTCTGTTCTGCCATTATGTTAAGCCGCCAAAGCGAACAATTCGCAACTACTTGGTAATTACATTAGTGTTGTTGTTAACGTTTAAGAACAAAAATTGTAATGAAGAATAAAGAAATATTGTTCGAATTGTGGTGACTCGCTGTTGCTTTGCACAATGCGATTTTACACAGCTTGTTGCATTAACAATCAGTGCGTGGCATGCACCTTCTACTTTTCTATGCTGCGATTGTGCCCAATGGCACCGCTATTCATTTGTCAAATAAAAAACCAAATGATGTAAGAGTTGTACATATGAGAAAAGTTCTTATTACAAATTACCTTAAAAGGTTATATGGATTTCCTCAGGTAAGAAACAGCCTTTTTCAACAATTTTTTTCTCATATAAAAACTTAAATATTTTATTAGAATTTTTAATGTTGCAAACATACACTATTAACAAAGAAATTCTGAAATTTTTGGAAAAAATGTTTTAAACTCGGTCATTGCGACGCCATTTCCGGCGAATCCTCGGAAAAATGATGTGCTCTCGTTGGCAGGATAACTCCTTTCCGGATCACATAAAGTGAAAAAATACGTGTTTCAGTTAAAACCTTAACTTAGAACTTGGACGAAGGAAAAACACCGAAAATTGGATTTTTCGCAGACATTTTTACAAAAAAAGAAAAAAAAAAAATTAAAATTTCAATGAAAATTTCGGAAATTTTTTTTTTCAAATAGTTTTTTATCGAAAGAAATTTCTTCGTTCAAGTCTTTAAGAATTGTATCTCAAATACATGTGTAAAATTTCATGAAGATCGGTTGAGTAGTTCTCGAGGAATCATGCCAATCGACTACAAAAACAGTTTCGAGAAAAACGCCTTTAAAGACTTGCACTTAGCCTAGCTAACCTCGAGCGCACAAGTCCTCAAGGCTGTATCGCCGAAACTATTACTAGGATCAACTTAAAAATTAAAGACAATATTCTAGAGGTCTTGTAGAATATAATAAGACAATAAAAAAGTTCGATTTTTTAAATCCGTAAACCCCCAAAAAGTGAGGGTGAGAAGTGATTTTTGACCTGCTTTGGGAAGTTTTTTTGTGCTTCGGTTCACCCTTCCCAAGATATTCGGCCGATAGACCGTCTCTTTTCGGATCGTAAGCATTAAACCAAGACTAATCGCAAGTAATACTACGTTTCATGACATCCTGCTGCTCAGAAAGCATTGTTTCACAGACGTTGACGCGACGTTGTTCTTCGAAAAAATTTAGTGATTTTGGAACCAATCGTGGTTTGACTTTTCTTAGATCCAAATGACATTTCACAACGTTTTTCACTGATTCTTTCGCTATTCCAAAGCTGCCAGTAAGATCTCTTACAGTGAATCGTTGATTCTCAAGGACCAATTCTTTTATTTTATTGTTGTGTTGATCATCGGTTGGCGTTGATAGCCGTCCAAGACGTGGTTATTGCACATTATTGTACGTTGGGTTAACGTAAAGGCTTGTAGAAGCTCATTACCGGAATATTTGCAGGCCTTAAGTACACAATTGAGCATTTTAAGAATATGCAAACACACAAATAACAATTTTTTTTTGAAACTAGTTCCTTTTGCATCAAAAATTTCCGCAATATTATCTAATTACCTTAAAATTGATTTTATTTTTGAATACATTTTTCTCTCTCTCTTTTCAGGTGAGTTGTCCCCAAACCACCAAAATTCACAATTCTCCACACTGCAATCCCGTAAGTTTAATTTCACCTATTTTTATTTATTTATTATTTATTTCTTCCACCATCATCATCATCAAGCACTTGTTGTTCTGTCTCTTATACACATCTAGATGTGTATAAGAGACAGTCTCCACACTGCAATCCCGTAAGTTTAATTTCACCTATTTTTATTTATTTATTATTTATTTCTTCCACCATCATCATCATCAAGCACTTGTTGTTCGAACCCAAACCAAAACTTAAAATAACGTAAATAGTCGCAATGTCTCATATGAAATCCCCCACAAAAGCCGCAGAGTTTTATACGAGCTTCTTCATTAACATCCCGTCTGGACATTAAATAGTTTGCTATTGCATCACCCACTAATGATCCGGCTATGGTTGAATGGCCCTCTTTCTAGTGTACATATTGTTGCTTAATACTTTTTAAATTTGTGCACCCACAAGCTTATGTGTTGGTGTGAAAATGGTTGCACCCACACACATAAATGCCTTAGATTCCTCCATTGCCCGCTTTTCTCAGTTTGTTTGCAAGGCAGATCTGCCCCTTGATTAGCGCAGATGCAAGCTATTGCGTGTGAAGCGTTGAAATCTCCTCACTCAATCTTTTCTGCGATTTTTCAATGAACGATAAGGCTCAGTACTTATGAGTGTGTGTGTGTGTGTGTGGTTCGCCCTCATTTGGGGTCAAATGATTTGGTCCAGTTTTATTCTATTTCTCCTCGAATGAATAGAATTCTTTATTCATTGCACGAATGCTTTCCGGGCATTGCGCTGTAAATGGAAAGAAACATTAAGGATTTCGGTGTTTGTTGCTGTAATTTCTATAAGAATACTTAAAAAAATTCTCCCGAGAAATTTATAACCAAAAACACGTTTATATTTGACATACATATGTTTAAATTTGATAAGCTCATAACGCTTGGAATTCGCGTATATTTTAACAATAAGTAAGTACATATATATTATTGTGTACATATGGTATGTACATAACCATAAAGCTACCTCAGGAGACACACTTCATTGGGCAACCGATAAAATTCAACCGTTGGTCTTATCCTTCCGTACAGTCGGCTTTCATTTTATGCTTATCTTGTGGTCTGCCACATGTCTCCTCGTGCGAGTCGTCACTGCTCTTCTGCTCCTTGACTGAGTATATTATATTTTACTCTTGCAGATATGTTTGTTGCATTTCACCATTTTTATTTTGAGCGACTGAATTAAAGCATACGGATATTGCAATAAATCCTTTAAGTCGTGATTATGGGTAATGAAATAATGATGAAAGGGAGTTAAGCAGCAGTGTGATTTCCTGTTATTGTAAAGCTTTTCCGGTGAAGAGTACTTTAATATGTGGAAAACATAATAAATTTCCAAGAACTAATTGGTTTGGTATGTAGACTAGACACTTTAAGAAAATTACATAGAAATTGAGAGCTTGTATAATTAAAACCCAAAAGTTTTTAAAAATTTTATTTAGAGCTTGGATAATTAAAACAGCAAATGTTGCCTACAATTAGGCGCAATGTTAAATATTTTTAGCTAAGTGATCCACCCAATTCGCGAAATGCATTACACATTTGAAAGAATACGAGCAAAGTATAGAGAATAAGTAGGATTTCTTTGTTCTAGTTCCGAGTTCAATGGATGCAGTCAGTTTTAGAAAATTTTGTAGAAATTGAGAGCTTGGATAATTAAAACAGCAAATGTTGCCTACATTTAGGCGCAATGTCGAATATATTTAGCTATGTCAGCTATCCAATTTGGGAATTGCATTACGCATTTGAAAGAAAAGAGAAAAATAAAAACAATGAGAGGTGCTCTGTTTCCTTCTAGTTTCGGCTCCAACAGAAAAGTGATTTTTGCGTCGAAATATATTGACAAACTATATATGTCCACATTTGTATTGTAATAAAAGGAAAATGGCGGCTGAGCACAACTCTTATGTATCTGCTTTGCTGTGCATTGAACCCTTATTAGCAAACAAAATTATTCATCTCATGAACTGGCTGCTAAATTGCCATAACGGATACGAAATTTCCCGATAAAAGTAAAGAAGAAACTGTGATAATGTGTCCGAGCTGCTTTAATGCGAAACAAATGTTACGAATACTAATAGAATGAGGCGAATTTTCTAACATGTATCATTGTCTGTGTTCCGCCAGCGAAGAAGGCAGACGAGCCCAAAAGCACACCCAACGATTGTGCCGAGCAGTGCGCCTCTGCTACTAGACAACGAGCGACCTTTGGTATGCTCCGGATCCTACAATGCGACGCCACTTTTTGATTTGCCGCCAACTTCTGGCAAAGGCTTCACAGCGGCTACGACGGGACCCTGACTGGTGCTGGTCGGTTGCCTGCTTGACTGGCGCTGCCGTGTCTGGTCGCTATTGTCTGGGTAGTGGCGTTGTGTTGTTGCTGTGCGAGTTGCGAACTGGGCAACTTGCCATCTTGGCGCAGATACACAGAGCGAGTATCGAAAATCGGCGTCTACAAATATACATAAGTGTATTTGTATTAGGAGTTAAATGTTACAAGGCAAATAGCCGCATATCTGTATCTATATATACACATGTATGTGTGCGTGTGACTACCGAATTTACACTTTTGTTTTTGTCACACTGCCTGCAAATGGCCGCTTGATACAAATTTATTTTATTTCGCAGAAATAAAAGCACACACATATGTATCGGGCGTAAAAAAGCGACAAAACAAATATACATCAACAGAGAACTTCACCTTGAGCGGAATTCGAAAGGTATTTGTTTGCTTTCGCTTCGTTTTGTAAACATTTGGCTTTGCTCTGCAATGTTTTGTGCGCGCGCTTACCAGCGAGCGAAATAAATGTGGCGCCAGGAATGCTTTTAAATGTGGCAGGCTTTTAGGCGCACGGCGATTTATGAGTTTCACTTGAAGCGACTTGTTCGCAGCCGAAAGCCGTTTACAAGTGTAAATAAAACAATGAAATTAATATTTTATGGCTCGCCAGTATGCAACACATATATTGCTACTTGCCACTTCCCCCAACAACTATAGCAACTTTTAATATACTCGGCACAGCGTTGCTCGAAGCTTTCGCCGCTGCATTTCTAAGGGTCGTCTGCTTGTCGACAGCATTTCCTGTGCTTCAGCGAAACATTTTGCACATTGCGTATGTCTTCACTCGGCCATTTATTATTATTTCGTCGTGGTGTCTAAACCCGTCCTCCCTGTTCATCCTGTCCTCTCCGCCTGACCACAAAACGACTGCGCTTGCTGAGACGTTCGCTTGTTCTTAGTTTTAATCTCCAACCTATTTGCACTTCTAACACTCATTTACGTACGTTGCCAACTCATTTCCGTAATAGTTTGCCTGCAGTACTTCCTGTTCTTTCCTCACCCCGACACACTGCCGGACCTGTGGTTTTGTGTGTGGCTGTGTGTGTGTGTATTTGTGGACGATGCGAGTTTCCTTTTTGTAAATATAGTACTTCGCAAGTGGTTATGTGTCCTCTACGGAACAGTTTCAACTATTTACCGTTATGTGGTAACATCACTTGCTTCCTTGTGGACAATTCATGATATATAGAACTTTTTAAAGAGGAAATATAATTTAAATTGTGCTGTTGGTGCAAATGGTATTCGAAAAAAAGAAAAAAATAAGAATAGCAGTAATCGGCATAGCATTTCTAATATTTCTAAAGTGAGCTCAAATCTAAATCGCTTTAAGGATATTTCAGGATTGTTCGACACTTACTAGCATGGTTTAAAATACAGTTTAAGTCTGCCATATATTTAAAGCTCTGAGAAGAAAACATAAAAATATCAATGCTGACAGAAGTAATCTAAAAAGGCTTAGATTTTTAAATATTGTCTGTGGATGGTTACAACCTGGCTGTTAAACTAAAGAGGCTGAAAATAGAACACCAAATTTGACACGAACTATTTGTCTGACGATTTTTACCTTGAAAATCTTCTCGTTGTTCTATTTTGCGTGAAAATTTGAAAACAAGTATTTGATTAGCCCAAAGGATGCTGTGAAGCCCGTGAAGTTATCGAAAACTTGTCTCACGCGAGTCGTTCAACGAAAAAGTTTGCGGATTTTAATTCTTGTTTCGGACATGAAGCGTTTAAATGCTAGAATCATACCAAAAAACCTGAATCTCTTATAAAAATTACTACGACCTCTACGCAAACGAGGTGTTTGGTAAGGTAGCTGAGAACCCCACATTCGTCAAACGCATGATTACTGGGGACGAGACGTGAAGATAACGTCAAAACTGTTCAACAACCGAAAAAACCTCAATTCGCTGAAGGTTATCTCAGGCGCTATCCGACTGATTTCAACCAAATTTTGTATGTGTGCGAATTCCGACAACAACCACACTTTTCCTTAACTTTAAATACAATCTCATTCTTTCACTTCAACTATACAGATTAAGGTATTTAATCTTATGCCCATAAATTGTCGAAAACGGTCGAAAACTTTTCAATATCCCAGATACTGAATATTTGGTCCTCAGTACATTTGGCTGATTTTTTACTGAACATATCGGTCGACGTATGAGTTATAGTATTGAAGTTCGGAGACAATATTCTTGTGTTGACAGCATGTCCTCGTGCCACAAATCGGGTAAAATCACGTCAATACAAATATAATATTTCCGAACTTGCGGTTTACTTCTATCCTTCAGTATGTAAAAAATATCAATGAAATTCAGAAATAATTTTTGTCTAATAACAGTGCGTCTTCTTGCCTGCAATTGGATGTGATGAATGGAATAATTTCCACTTTTAAGTTGAATAGATAATACCAAGATCATATTTTATATATCACTTTACTATATCACTCATTTACTTGCTATAACTATTTTTATATATGTTAACCATGAACGTACTTTTATAGAGCTTTTGAGCGGATTAAAGCCAGTTTTATTAAGTGAAATCGTAATTAGTTTTTTAATACATCTACACACATGCGAAAATATGTTGCAATAAATATGAAAATATTTGCAATTCAATTGAAAACCCGC